ACAAGACCGCAGAGCTCGGTGACAAGGCCAAGGGAACTGGGCGCAGGCCTCCTGCGCACCGCTATGACCACATCTCTTTACTGTTCCACTTTACCAGTTCAAAGACAGTTAAAGAGGGAGAACCAAACACCACCCCCACCGAGCTGCCTGCTCCAATGCCCCCGTATCCTTCACTCATTGGGGATGGATCCAAACAGCAAGATGAGGGAATCATAGCTCCAAAAAATGAAATATTAATGCCCCCCCAGACTTCTCCCTACTGTGCTTCATTGTTGTTCCGTGTTTTGGTAAAGAAACACATAAATAGCAACATTTAAAACCTAAAATAAAATATTTTATTTTCTCCAAATAACATTTATTTTCTTTTCCTTTAAAAAAAAAAAGGTCTTTTAGTACCGATTTGCACACCAAATGAAAATACGCAGTAGCCATGTAAACCAACATCCCTTCATCTACTTCAAAAAACATATACATCCTTCAAAACAAAAGCACACATGGATTAGTTACAGAGCAAAAGCTTCATGGCTGTACAGTCCTGGGGGTTTCCACACGTGCAAACATGAACATACCCATGTGTACAAGAGAGGCAGCACACAACCAGTGAACTGTTTGTTCAGGTGGTTACGCTTCAAAGCCTTTTCTAAAGAATTTTTAGCACAGGAAGGCTAGCAAATCCCATCAGCTGCATCTTATATTAGCCTCTCCTGGCTGGTAGAAAAGTTTCCTGCATTTAAATGTCTCCTAAAGGTTCTGCTTGTTCTAGGAGTCTACAGCCACTGGCTAATTTTTTTAGCAAATTTCATTCTTAAGACTTGAAATCAGCTCTGGACCCATAAGGAGTCACAAGAGAGGGCTTGATGGCAATTCAAATTCTTGCCTAAAGAGTAAGCAATGAAGAGCCACGGGCTGAGCGCATTTCTGGCATAAACAGCTCCATTCGATCCCTCTGTCAAGTGACTGAAGCACACAAAGAACTGGAACTCAGGATATCAGCATGGCATTCATGAAAACAGTTGCACAAATGAGTTGGAAAAACCATTACCAGACTTTGGCAAGGAAATTTTAATCTCAGTCTTCACTTACTGAAGTGCTGAAAAAAAAAAAATAAAAGCCTGATATTCAAAGGCTACAAACTGAAATTTCAAGGCTCCAGTTCACAAGTGGGAAATGGGGACAAGTGCTGATAAACAAACCCATTTCATATCACCCAAGGTGGTAAGACAAATTACACAGCATTTCCCCCACTTCCCCCACTCAAAATTAACATGCTGAAAATCAACCATAAAACTGTCAAAGGACAGTTTTTAGGGATGGTAACAGGAGGCTATAAGGCTCTGAGGCTTCAGCTTACTGGTCACCCCTTGCTCCCAGTGAATCATAGATTCCATGTTGCTCTGCATCCCAAAGCAGTAACAAGAAATCAACATGTGTTTTTCTTTTCTCCTACTTTCTACATAGGCAATATTAATCTCTCCCCGTTAAGTCCCAAGTAGTTTTTCCTAACAGAATACATTTCTGCTACATATTCTACTTTTACTACTAGTAATTTGATAGGTCCACCTTAAATTAAGATGAATAGACACCAATTAGTACCATTTAATAGACCACCTGATTTCATACTCTAAATCTCATTATGTTTCATAGAAATCAAATTGGAAAGCCAGTGGCAAGAACACATGCAATCTGTGCACATCCAAGTGAATCTAAATATAATACAAAATTAGTAAAACTAAGTAGCAAGTCTCTTAACTTCAACGGAACTAAATTAAAAAAAAAAATCAGCATTTTCACTTAGTGGAGTCCCCAATTCATTCAATCCTCATGCAACCGATTTCAAAACATTATGCCAGCTTAAAACAAAAGATCCAAAAAGTTTCAGAGCAATAATGTAGCTCATAGCTAATCGCTGGGCCTACATTATCGGTCCTTCATTGGAAGCCTACAACAGCAGGGCTGCAAAACTAAACTTACTTCAAGTTTGCATCAATCTCACTCACATCATAACCAACTTATACTCTCCATCCCCTCTATTTTATTTCCCCCTGTGTGAAACCCGAAGCTCCTAATTATGAAAAACCATACACAGTTCATCTTGAAACACATTAAAAAAAAACAACTTAAAAGCAGCCAAGACACTTGAGACACTTCATCAGGTGTCACCCAAAAATCAAATTGGCCAAAACCTGACAGCCTCGAAGGCAGGAGTCATCAGACCCTCTCCACAAAGGTTACTACATCCTTCCCGTGCATTCTTACAGATTCCAAAAGTCACAGCAGACATTAAGTGTCACTTCTCTCAAAGAAGTCTCTGGTCTAAAGACAGCTAGGACAACGCAGGATTCTCACAATTAAACGGAGAAGTGTCATTCCTAACTTTGAAACTCCTGCCATTAAGACAACAATAATATTTTTGAAAAGTCTCTCCAAACCACATCCTCTCCCTTTAACAGGAGCAGCTGCTGTCAAAGCGTTTCTCCTGTCATCTCTCCATGTCTGCCAACAAACAAAAAAAAGCTCCAGAGCAAATCAGGCATCAGGATCCACAGGACATTGGATTTCTTTCGGTTTACAGATCCGGCTTTCCACAAGGAGAGCTTGCACAGTTTTTTGGGGTACTTCCAAACAGATGGGTTATGTTTCCCTACTAGCTCAGTCTAGTGTATCTTGAAGTAGACAGTGCTAACTCCCCCAAAGCTTTGTAACCATCTAAAATGTCTTCTCCAAAAAAAAAAAAGAAAAAAATAGACTGATAATACAGGAAACAGTGGGATAGGTGGAGTTTCAAGTAAGTCTGCACAGTTCATCAGCTGTACAGAACAGACCAAGGAGAGCTTGAAAAAATAAATGCATTTTCTCTCACAGTCTGTCAGTCACCTCAGGATTTGACATTACCTATAAAATAATAATTTTAAAATCTTAAGACTAATGTTAGTAAGAAAAAACCCAAGTTATTTATGTACCTACTAGATAAGATGCTTCTGGCTATTTGTGCTACCATGGCAGAGTATCACAGTGTAATCACACCCAAGCACATGAAATATCTCATTTAAGCCCAATTTAAGAGAAGTCTTTTCAAATGCTTCAGCTCAGTGGGTGTCTCAGAAGCATTAATCACCTCTGAAACGGTGGCAGCAACAGAGGGGTGTCTTTGGTGGACAGTATCTTTATACTGCTTTGTGTTTCAGATAAAGAAGGCTTTTACAGGTGATCTTTGACACCATCTCATCATCTGTGCTTCCACAATATTTCTTCCCCTCTTTGTTCTGGTATTCAGTACTTCTTTTTTATTCCTCAGTGAAATTCATCTGTGGCCCTGTGTGCACTCTTGAGTTTACAGGTTCAAAAATTATTTACAGGACAAGCTCTTACTGCGTGTATCTCCCACTCTGCAGCCTCTGTTCCTCTCCCTCCTGGTCTCAGAGTGGAAGCATGACTCAGCTCACCGCAAAAAGAGCAAGTTCATTTAAATAAATTAAAATGGACAATGACCAATCCCAGAAGCTTTTGTTTAGGCAGCTTCTATTTATGCACAACTGTAAAAAGCAAGATTTTTTTCAAAAATGTTATGAATTAGTCAGACCTGAGCCATCAACTCATTCACCTATCAAATTCTTAAATAAAAAATGAACTGTTAAATGCATCCAACTCTGCCCCAATCAACATGGCACGAAAGCCTATTAAATGTGCAGCTCCTCCAGACAAAACAGTTTTTCAGTGTTTTTAATCCTTACCAGTAATCAATTATCCTTCAAGCTCCCACATTATATAATTAGAGGTGCTTCCAGAAGGTGACTGGTAATTCATCAGACTGCATTTTCCTTCCAACTCCACTCTTTCGATCTTTTTTCTACAAGATCTTGCACAGATCAACAGCAAAGCCATTTTTCCTTTAAACATCATTTCTCCCTCTGAGCAGGTTTTTCCTCATAAACCACAAACTTAAATGTTAACGCGCACAAGTTAGGCCTCAAAATTCAGCTCTGAAAGGAGCAACACGGAAAATAAAATTTGACTCCCTTAAAGGAACAGTCCATTACCAATTTCAACATTTGTATCCCTAAGGGGAACCAACTGAAATCTTAATCATACTTTCCCAAAGTTATCACATATTTCTTCAGCTTAATGCTCCCCCAGTGGTACCCAAAGCATTTCTTGATATACAAAGCTACGCGTGATCGTGTTTTTAGCCTGAAAAACATCTGCAGTTCCTCATTAATAGCCACTGCCATAGATGCAAGTCTTTGGTTTCACTCAAGAGTCTCAAAAGATTTTAAAGAGGACCCATAAACCACTTAAAGTTATAACAACCCATTCATTGATGGGGAGAAAAAGCCATACAATAACCTGCCAAAAACCATACAGCCTGTTGCTCTTCGCATAAATAAAATCAAAACTGAACAGCATCTATCCCTGGATGCCTCTGCTACTGCTTACAGGCAGTCATTTTTAACCCAACCTTTGCAAGACAGCTGCCTGCTCACAAGATACTCATCCCTCAAGGCTTACATCAGGTGTGCACACTGCTGAGCCTTCCGGCCCAAACCTCATGTTTTGGTTTCTACAAACCCTGGAGAAGTACAGAGGTGTGTCAAAGCTCCTACATCTTCACTCCACAGAAGAGGGCTGATGTCACACACCAGGGTCCCCCATCCTCTGGCCTGATACAACAGGTATAAAGCACCATACCACCTCTCATCACGAAGGCTATGGTTCTGAGCCAAGTGGTCTGTAAAGACATTTGCTCAGGGAGAGACATGAGAGAGGAGAAAGTTTCCCCACCTCCCAAGTCCCTCACGCCTGAGATTAAGCCTCAGGTTCCTGTACGACAGGCCAATACAGTGCAAGTGGCATTGATAGCTCAAAACATCCTCCCAACGCTAACAATGTCACACCAAGGTTTTACAGTAATGTTACCTTCACATTAACAATGTTTTTAACACCTTCTACCCGCCTGTGAAACACGGTCTAGCAGCAGCAACTTGCTCAATTCTAGAATTATTTTAAAGTGGAATATCGCTAGTCATTTGCTGCTGCTTAGCTTGCACAATCAAGTGGAGCTGTCTCTTCGCAATGGCCGTGTTTAAATCCCACAAGAACTCCAACAGCTTGCCCTGGAGGAGAACCTCCATCGGCACAAACTGCAAAACCTGCTGGGCTGAGTCCGTGTCTAGTAGAGAGCTCATGAGTTTATTCAGATGCTGCAGATACTCAACAACTGGATTTGGGAGGCCTCGGTAACCAACGCACAGCAAAGCGGCACTAGTCCTGGGCGGTTCACGGGAGGTCGGACAAGCAAACGTGATGCATCTGAAACAGCAGTGCAGTATAAAGACCAGGCCAGCCGTGAAGCGTGTAAAACAGGAGAGAATAGGCAAAACCAATGCATCTCCCACTGTAAGCTGATTCAACGAACACAGGACACACTCCAAAAGCTGCTGCTGGTACTTTGGTTCTCCATCATAAAGCAAAGAGAAGCTGAAAGCCAGCAGTGTGGCTGAGTCCAGAAGCTTTATTTCCACACTGGGTTGGATTTCAGTATCACAGAGGGATGGAAAGCCCACCACAAGGCACTTGAATTGGTCACTATATCTTTCGCTTAGGACTTCCTGATGACACCTGGAAAGATCAGAGACTTCTGCCAATATCAGTGCCCCAGGAAGAACTTCACAGGAATGACAAGTCTGCAGCATTTGTCTGCTTTTCAGCCTCCCCCCCATCAATTCTTTCATAGCTTCATTAAGATTTTCCAACACTTGACCATCACAAAACGGAGAACATTTTACCACTGGTAGCCTTTTTCCTTCCAAAACGTACCACAAGCTACACTCGAGGTTAGAAGATGATCCTTCCAAGATGCATGTTTTACCAGCATTATTTAGACTATGTTCTTCAGCCCAGTGATTAAAATAGCCCTTTGCCACTTTATCATTCCATGTAAGGGTTTCCAGCATCTTCCTTTCATTGTATGTACTAAAATATTTGTTTCTTTGCCCAAACCATTTTGCATTCATGCTGCAACCGGTCTGAGATTTCTTGACAAGCCAGTTATTTCTAGCAATGGGTTTCATACGAAGCCTTTGCATGAAGAACTCTACCGCACAGTCTCTTAACTCATTCAGTTTCACCTGCTCCGCTTCTTCCATGCGCTCAAAAAGATGGATGTTCTCAGAGATAGTCTCTACCTGGCACTTGTGGAAGAACATGCAACACTCTTCATGGATTTTAAGAAAAGACTCCGGTAGCGTATGCTGGGGAGAGAGTGGTTTATTTCTGCTCCGAAGTTTTGTATCATCTTAGAAAGGAGCAGATGAATGCTTTCTCTGCCCATATAACGAAGACAAATCACATAGGCTTCTGAGTTTCCAGCTTTGCTAGTGGCCGGCTTAAAGACATGGACCTCCTCAAAAGAGCAGTTTAGCAGAAAGAGCAGGTTGGTAGAACAGTGTTCAAATAGTGTGAACATCTTCAAAACAAAGGAGCCTCCAGCACCCAGGATCATTAAAGCAGTGACGGTTTCACAGTAATGAAGGGGTGAGACAAGAGCCTCCTGTTCACCTGGGTTTCCCTGGCAATCAAAGCTGCCATCAGCAGTTACCAAGTGAACCGTGGCCATATTACTTACAAAGCTCTGAAGTCCTGTTAGATGTTTCAATGTCATTACATCACCCGTGTTATCTGGGCCAAAGTACCACCAAGGCAACGTATTTGCTATAAGCCGGTCATCCATGATCATCATCAGGGTGTCATTTGCTTCGTGATACGGGTTTAGAGTATTGGCGACCCAATTCCAGTCGCAAGGGACATGATGGGATTTCAAGTAGTGATTGAGGCTGGCTATAAAAGCCCCAGGTGCTTCACAGAGGTGGACAGTATTCAGTTCTCCATCCTGAAGAGCTTCTTCCGGGAGAAGAGGAAAACCGCACAGGATCTCGTGAAACTTGCACCAGGCCTGGGTGCACAGCTCAGCATTCACAGATTTCTTCACATGGGGAATTATTTTCCCCGCTTTATTAGTAAACGAGGTGTGCTGATGCCATTCTTCCAGGTTCTTGTCACTCAGTTGATTCTTCACTTTGTTCATCGAGTCCTTCAGAGCCAGGAGTGAGTTGAATTCCTCGTGATCGCAGGTAAAAGCATCACCGGGATCTGGTAGCTGCCATTCATTATTCACTGGCTTAGGGTAAGTAAACTTCTTTGCAAAGAGCTTCTCGATTTCAGAACGAATTTCAGGACTGAACTTTTCCAGGTTTGTAGTCTGGTCAACATAAGGCTTCTTACATTTGTTCATTCTTGGATTGATTCACAACCTGGATGACAGCAGGGGAGAAGAAACAACGTCACTCCAATCACAAGTGTATGTAAATAAGCAAAGTTTGGGGTTTGTTTTTTTTTTAAATAAAAATTCTCCTGTTTGACCCCTGTATTCTGGAATGAGAGAGAAATGCTGCACAGAATCACATACCCATGAGGAAAATGAGGGCTATCCTGAATAAGGCTATTTGGCAATCAAGAGGTTCACAGGTTCAATCACCCTCCGTGCTACTTACATAGGAAGTGAAGAAGATTTGGCTGCTGCTTTGGCTCTTCACTGACCTCCGAATACTCTGCTTACTGTATTTGTATTTAAGTGTTTAGACCTATATCTCTCTTGGCCACAAAAGAGAACATACCACAAGGTAAACAAATTAAACAAGCGGCCCAGAAATCTTTTCATCCGATTCTGGTAGTTTTTATCCACCTCCCTCACAGCACATGACACAAGCTTTGACAGGGAGCAGCAAACTGACAACAGCAAACCCTCACACCTCTCCCACCTCACCCAGTATGATGCTGGGAGAGCCCCCTCACTGGCATCCCCAATAACAGCCCTGACACTGAAGAGACTCTGACAAGAGGTTTAACACCAGCCTGCAAGCAAAACCCCTTTGCTGTGCTTAGTGTTACACCTCTCTGCCAGGCCACTGCAAATCTTTACGCCTAGCTTTCCCTACTGGAAAAACAGTGATAAATCCGAAGTGAGAAGAGACTTTCTTGCACCCATGGTGAATGGTAACTCGTGCTTGATGTTAAAGGAGGCAGTAGCACAAAGTGTTGTGCTTTGCATGGCCTGAAGCAGACTAACATGAGCACACTCTGCACAGAGCTAACGAGTCTGCTGCAATCTGCTCCAGCGCACAGCACAAGGCACACAAGGCAGAAGTTAGGTTCACTAACCAGAAATCAGCCAGTCAGCAGCCTATTCAAAACAAAGATGTTCATTTAAGCAAAATAATTTAATCAAAATTACTGCAAGAGACAGGAAATCCCTTTGTGTTGTCATTTTAACCATCCCCCAAACTACCCCATTCCCTCAGAAGCAAAACACAACCATCTCAAGTGTTACAAAACAGTTTAGCGTGAAAAAATACTAGGTTAAAATTGAGAAGGAAGTGAAACTCTGGAAGCAGGCAGAGCAAAGTATGGCAAACCTAAACACTTTAACCTTCCCCTTTCATCCACATAGCATCTCAGGCCACCTCCCCGCAACCCTGGCTGTCTCCTCTCATAGCCATCAGGAGGAGCAGCATGCAGTTATATACACACGGGTGATGTTTCATCTCTCGTTTCTTCAATCTGACTGCCTTTCAGTAAGCATATTTAGTTTCACTTTCCTTTATGCAGACATATTTTGGCTTTAATCTACAAATTTCTCACTACAGGTGCTGAGTAGAAGGGGAAAACAGAGAGCAACGCAGGGCAGCACTGTGCCTTGAAGCAGTTTTACTTCATTTTTAAATACCAACTATGAGCATGGCCTTTTAATTACAGATCACACCAGCAAATCCCTCAACAAGCTCTCATCCAAAGCACAGCAAGGGAACAGGCTTTTCCTTTTGTATAATGATTTCCAGTCCCCATCAGCCTGCGCTCGACTCAAACCTGCCGAAGAACTCTGGGCTCCTGCCCACCCCGCAGCCTCTCACACACACCCCAACACCGGGGGAGGGACGGCGCCCCGCACACCACCTCCCTCTCGGGCCGGCCCTTCCCGGCAGCCCGCCC